GGAGAATGCTGCTTCTCTTTAGCAGGCAACTTCAGCAGGAATGTCTTGGCCGTGTGACCTGTTAGTGAGCTGCTTTTCTTATGAATTCTTTTTACCCCTCACCAAAGAATACTGCCTGATGCCGTACATTCCTGGTGCCATGTAGCGGTGCAGGAGGCCGTGGCAGCGGGTTCTGCAGGCTGGCTATTGGGAAGTACAAGGTATGACCCGCAACGTGAGTCTTGCTAGAGTTCAGATCCCTTCTTACCCCTTTACCCTGGGGCCGACACCACCCCAGCTCATACCCTGAGCCCGCCCCTGGCTGGGACCCCTGGGGAGCCCCAGGCTGCTCTGCTGAGGAGGCGGAGAGCATGCCTCTGAAGTCTGTCATGGCTTCAGATCAGGAGGATCGTGCATGGTTGGCTCAGTGTGTCAGTGCTGAAAAGTCCTGCTACTCTGTCCTCACGGGATGAGATCTGGTGGGAAATGAACCAGGTTTATTCAAGGGCTGGCGCCGGGAGAAGATACCAGGAGGGCAGCTATCTGGGGAACTCAGATACATGGAGGGACTTCATGGTGAGAGAAGGGGAGTGCCGGCAGGCGCCTGGACCCCGGGGCTACTTCCTGTACTTCTTTGGACACACGTTGCTTTTCTGCAAGGGAAACCATCGCGAGTCATGTGCTAGTTGGTGCACAAGACTGAAGAGTGGGGGCCGCACGTTCGGACGGGCTGTAAAAGCCGCCCGGTGTTCTGAGCTTTGTAAGTCTAAAGCAAGATTATTTAGCAGTTAATACCTTAATCACGTAGGTTTGGCTTTTCTTTAAAATTTAGAGCGCCAGCCAAGGTAGGGAGGAACTCTACAAAGGATAACTTAGAAAGGAGCAACCACGGTTAAAAATTCAGTTCCGGAATGTTTTGTGTACAGGAGTGGGGAAGACCCACCGCTTCTGGAGGGTACAGCATGGCGCAGCCCCCAAACAGCATCCCCGGAGCCTCGGCCTCCTGCTCAGAGACTGGGCTTCCTTCTCCCCGACACCGAGGGCTCGCTTCTAGAACCCGGGATCCAGAGGCGCAGCTATAGCCTCCTGACCTAGCGCTGAGCATGCCATGTTCCCAGGTGGGCAAGGCCACCAGCCAGCCCAGAACCCAAAACCAGCCCAGGAAGGGATTCAGGCCCAGCCGTATCTCCAGGTGGGCTGACGGAGCGGGTTCTCAGGCTCTGGAGTCCCCTAGGATATGACCCACCCTGCGGTCAGCCCCTTAGCCCAGCCCTGCCCTCTGCGGAAAGACGGCCCCAGCCCCAGCCCCAGCAGACCCCTCACCTCTCAAGCACCCAGGAAGAAGAAGGGAGGGTATGGGTTTGGCCATAGAGCGACACAGCCACCTGCTGTGCCTGGAGACCCCACCTAGGCGGGACTCCCACGGGGTCAGGGACCTTCTCAGCCAGGGCCTCCTTGAGAGCCCAGGGGCCTGGGGGCTGGTGTGGAAGGGAAGTAGACCAGCCTGCGGCCCTGGAATGGTCCTGCCAGGAGGGGAGTGTGGTGGGAGGGCCGCGTGCCCAACCCGGTGGCACAGGAGGAGGAGGACACACCGGGGGGCACAGAGAGGCTGAGACGCCCCGGTGTGGGCTCCTCAGGGTGTGGCCCTGCGCTACAGTAGGCTGCTTCCCAGACGGGGCTCCAGGGACCCAAAGGCTCCAGCAGCCTCTAGCAGCTTCCCAGCTGGAAAGGCTGTTACAGAATCCCAGGAATGTGCCTTGAGCTCAGAAAGAAAATTCCCAAAATAACTTCTATAAATACTCAAGGAAGGATGGAGGAGAGCTTGGCCTGGCTGCAGCTGGCCTAGCCAGGCTGGGCTCCCTGCAGAAGACAAAAGAGGCGCACCCCTCCCAGGACTTCCTGCTGTCCCTTCCCTCTGGGGGACATCATCGGGCACTCGGGGAGGAAGGATAGTGCTCCGTGGCAATTCTGAAAAGAGACAGCAAGACCCTTTCCCCTTCCTCCCCACCTCATGCCGTCATCCCACGGGGAACTTGGCTCCTGAGGGAGGTCCCCACTCAGGGTCTCTGTGCAGACAGAAGCCCAGGCCCCAGACCTTCTGCACTGAGGGTCCTGCGAGGCCAGGCTTGCTGGCAGCATCCCAGCCAGCAGTCCAGGTCAGGAAGCACGCAGTGCCTCTGGTGTCCCCAGCTCTGAGTCCAGGACCTTCCCATCCTGGCCCTATTGAGCTGCTCTCTGATGGAGAAAAGAAAACCAGGCGGGAGACCCAGGCCCTGTTCCTCGCAAAGGGCCAGGACAGGGTGGCATACCGGAGCCACACGGTAACTGAGCACAACCTCGAGGGAGTTGTGTGGGCCGGGACCACGTCTCGGGGAGGGTTTCCGGAGAAGGCAGGTCCGTGGCAGGAGGCCTGTGGCCAGGCACAGCCCCCCTGAGAGCCAGGAGGGTGTGAGGGAGCAAATGCAGGTGGGAATTTCGGGGCTCTTCTCTTCCAGCCCTGTCTTTCCCCAAGACCATGTTGGCGGCAGTAACCAGCCAGGTGTCCCTTAGAGGTGCCATGGCCGCTTGCCATAAACTCTAGGCCCTGGGGATCAGGAGCAGAGAGTCTCAGTGTGCCTGGTCTCCTCCCTCAGCAGATGGGGACAGGAAGTTTCAGCAGGGGCGTGTAGGTGGAACTGCATCCCCGCCGTCTCCCTAGACGGTGGGCAGGGTGCCCGGCAGCAGGGGTAGAGCTGCGGCAGCACTGGCCTGGGCCAGAGCAGGTGAGACCTCCCGCCTTGCTGGGACTGGGTCCTGCCCAGTTGTCAGGCAGCAAACAGTTCCAAGTTGCTACCAAACACAAACGCGGATGGTGCTGGGGGCAGGTGGCAGCAGATCCTGTTACAGGCCCGGGGCCTCTGGGCCCCAGCCTGACCCCAGCCTGACTGGTGTCTCCTTTCAGGCTCCCAGGTCAGCGCCCCAGGGTGCCGCCCACAGTCCCCCTCCCCCAGAGCTGTGTCCTCTCCAGCCGCCGGAGAAATCAGCCGCACCACTCCCTCCTCTGCACGTCTCAGAGATGCTGCCATTTGCCGCATGCCCACTTTGTGCCCTGGCTGCAGAATCCCCGGCCTGGCCCTGCGAGCCTGGGCTGGATCATCCCAGATAGAGATAAGGAAGCCTCGGCTCAGCGGGTGGTCCCTTGCCATGGTCACGGTGCTTGTCAGTGGGAGCTGGAGTTCCAACGCTGCCGGGCCTGTGGCCGCTGGCCCTGGCTTTCTGCTCTACCCAGGCACACAGAGGCACCTGCTCTAACATGCACGCGCACCCGGCCAGGCCTGCTCAGATCACAGCTTCTCAGACTCCTGTTTCGGCGGCAGTGTCCTTTCGTCCAGCAAAAGCTCACATGGAAGGAAGCTCCGTAAGCAGAACTTGGAGCCACTGTCCCCTCTGCTGCCCCGCATGGGCAGACTCGGGCCTCCAGCCTTCCATTTTTGGTGCTTAATTTGGGTGTCTGGTGGCTGCCGACACACCCTCCTCCTCTCCTCCTCCACTGTGAGCTGCCGGGGTCTGGGGCTCAGGCCATGTGGGCAGAGCAGCTTGGCCTGGGGCCCTGCTGGCCAGACGGACACGGCCCCGCCCAGGCAGCCCTAAGTCAGCAGTGTGCACATCTGGCCAGAGCCGGGGCCGCTCAGGGTGCCGCCCTGCCCGCCGCTCCCCTGCCTGGCCCTGCTCCTTGGCTTCAGGCACTAGAGATTCCTTGGGTGTGGCTGCGCAGGTTGAGTGAGGGCCCCTTGCAGCTTGGAGCCAGCGCCTACTGAAACGGTAGCTTTTCCCAGGCTTCCTGGGCGCCATCTTTCCCCCTTGCCTAATTGGTTGCATTCCGAGCTCTCTGAGGACTTGGTGAAATCAGCCATGTGCATCTTTCCCAGTATGTTTCCATAGCAACGCCGGGCCTCACTCTGGGGAGCTCAAGGAGGAGGAAAGTGATCCAGCTAAAAATGTACATGGCCATCGGTGGGCGGCCACTGGAGAGGGGCTCCAGGCATGGAACAGGAGGCTCCCCAGCAGCGCCCCCAAAGTTGGTGTTGGGCTTTACCTTTTATCTTGAAACAAGAGAGGGCAGCGGCAGCAGGACCACCCCCCCGCCCCAAGCTGCCTTCAAGGGGTAGGACAGAGATTGAGGGACGGTGTGAAGCAGCTCTCTGGGACCCTCGCCTGCTCCCCACCCTGTCCCCCTGCTCCCCTCCCAGTGCGGGTGGCAGAGGATCTGCGGAGGACAGGGCGCCAGTTTCACATCCCAGCCCCTTTTTGTGACAGTTTCTGTCACTTCCCCTACTTCAGTGGCAACAGTTGTCCGAGCAAGCTGCAGGCCATACTTGGCGCCTGCCGGCCCAGACCCGGGCACCGAGCCCGCCCCGCCTCTGCGCCTGCACCGTGCTGTGCGCTGCTCCCCAGGGCGCTCCTGGACTCACCTGTCCAGTGACGCTTGGCTGCCGCTTGATGTAGGCTTCCGTGGTCTCTGCCCTTCCGACCAGGGCTGTGGCCCTGTAGTGGGCGCCTGGTCTCAGGGCGTCGGGGTGAAAGCCGCTCGGGGCTTCGGGCAGCAGGGACTCGTGCCGCTTCCTCTTCAAGGGCTTTATAGCCACTGACTTGTTTCAGCTTCACAACAGCCTTCGCAGAGGATACTGTGATTCTACTATTTGCAGGGGAGCTAAGAGCCAGAGGGTTGTGACTTTCCCGGGTCCCCTAGATGAATCAAGTGAAAGTGGGGTGTGGACGTGGAAGCCTTGTCCCTGGAGCCAGGAGGAGAAGGGGCCCCGTTGGGGTGGTCTGGGAGGCTGGAGCTGAAACTCGGCTTAGGAGGGCACAGACGGGTCTCACTGAAGTAAAGAGCACCGTCACTTGACAGCGCCAGTCAGGACGCAGGTGCGGGCCTCTCTGGCTTGTGGCGCCAAGTGAGCTGCACCTGTTCTTGGCCCTGATGGCTGGGGTGCCCCGTCCCAGGGTGTCCACATTAACCCTGTCCTGTGCTTGATCCTCAGGGTCTGATGCTGAGCCAGCTGGGTCACAAGAGCCTGGCCCAGAAGGTGCTGCGGGACGCCGTGGAGAGGCAGAGCACGTGCCACGAGGCCTGGCAGGGCCTGGGCGAGGTGCTGCAGGCCCAGGGCCAGACCGAGGCCGCCGCCGACTGCTTCCTCACCGCCCTGGAGCTGGAGGCCAGCAGCCCTGTGCTGCCCTTCTCCATCATCCCCAGGGAGCTGTGAGCCCACCGCAGCGGCAGGGTCGGGGCACGGAGAGGCCCGATGCGGGCCTTGGGGAATGCAGCGGTAGTAAACGCTTCTGCAAGCTGCAGCCCAGGTCTCCCCCGCCCTGCAGCTTTCCAGCCTGCGCCTGTGCTCTGGAGCTGGGCGGACAAGACTTGCACCCAAAGCACATTCCTTGCCCTCTGGGCCGTAGACACTGTGGTGTTTGTAGGCAGGGGTGAGGGGAGGCCACGTCGTGCAAAGGTGCGCTGAGGGGCTGTGTGTCTGGTGCCTGGCCCCAAGCCCCGTCCTCAGGTTCCAGTCCAGAGCCTCCGCCCCACAAGAGATGAACCCCACGAGCCAAGCTTGGCCGAGTCAAGCTTTGCCCCCATTCCTTCCTAGGGCCTTGGGAGACAGACTAGCATGGACCCTCAGTGACTTAGCGTTTGTGACTGGGTATGCTCCTGAGGGGGTTTACAGCCGGAGTCCCCCACCCCCCCATGCCTTGGGCTCTAGGGGCCCCATTCCCAAATCTCACTTCCCGGATAGCCCCTAGGTCTTGCCCAGGGCACGCACAGCCTGAGATTGCTGGCTCAGGGAAACCTGCGGGATCCCCGGATCCCTCTCAGACTCCATGATGGCCAGGGATGCCTAGCATTGCCCCTGTGTCCGGAGGCCAGTGGGGTCCTGTGTGCTCTTCAACCTGCCACCAAGTGCCTGTGGGCCTCTGGTGTCCACCCGGGGCACCGAACATCAGTCCTTAACACTCTTACATTTCCACCTACTTGATCCACCTGCAGAGGCCTCGGCACCACTGGTCTCCATAGGCCCTAGGCTAGTGGTCCCTAAGCAGGCCTGGGGGTGCAGAGACAGCTCTGGATGCAGCTGTTTCTAATGCCCCAAGTCAGTGCATTCCTTCAAGCCTTTTCCTAAAGGCAGGTCCCTCTGGGGCTGATAATGCGGAGGGGGCAGTCCCTAGGACTATCCCCCAAAACCTGGGGTCTTTTGGGTGGCCTGTGCGCCATGCTGGGGCCCGGGAGCCGTGATTAGAGATGATCTAGCCAGCCCTGTCCAGCTTGAGCAGGCTTGGGCTCCACGACATGCCCTGTCTGCCGACACCGCCACCTGCGGCTCCACACTTGGAGCGCTGCCCCATTCCCTGGGGCTTGACAGGAAGTTCCCCTCTGACTTGCGCGTGGTCCAGGGGTACAGATCTCACTTTAAGGAGTGGGAGAAGGCCGGGGAGGGCCGTTGTCTGTGACAGCTTCCTGGGAAGCCTCACCCCAGCCTGCACGGGCTCAGCCCTGCGGGTCTCCAGGTTTTTCCCCAGAGAGCTGGCCCCCCTGGCCACCATACCAGGGGATATTCTGTCCTTTGCCTCTTGGGTGAAGGATCTCTGTATGTGGATATATAAATATAGAGATATATATAGATATATATATATATTTGATAGAGATCTATTTTTTCTGAAACTCTCTTAGGAAAATAAAGAATATGCAAATGCTATTGACCTACCTTGGGGTCCCTAAAGCTGTTGGGAGTCAGTTCTTGGGAGTAAGAAAGATAGAGATGTGATCCACCTTTCCCCATCCCCTCTTGGGAGCCACAGAGGGCTGGGCCAAGTCGCTGACCATGATCTTCAGACTGAATAAAGAGACCCCGGAAGGGGAAACGGGATCTGAAGCAGCGTGTTCATTCGTCCGGCCCTGAGCTGGCCATGGAGCAGCTGAGGGGCCGGGGCCCCGGAGCCCAGGACGGCGTGAGCGGTAGGAAGCACCCTGAACTCAGGAGCTCAGCGGGAGGACGCTCGGTGGAAGGCGAGGCTGGGAGAGTGGGGAGGCTGGGCGGAGGCCTAGAATCTGCTAGGAGGCATCAGAGGGGTCTGAGCAGGACGGGCTCTGGCCTTTGACCTGCCCTCAAGTGAGCCTCAGCCCCCTGCTGCTTCTGGAGCACAGCTGAAGGGGCTAGCGCAGGACAGGCCGTGCAAACAGGAAATGTGCTTGGGCATTGCCGATGGCGCACCTCAGCCCCTCAGAGGGTCCTTTGGGGGTTCAGATGGCCCCGCTCTGCTAGAAGCCCACAGCAACTCACTTGCATAGAGAATCCCTCCCCGCTACCCGTGGCAGTGTACTGTGTCTAAGCACGCATCGAACACTTGTAGGGGCTGAGGTACACACAAGCTCTATTTCTCGTGAGCCCCAAGAGATCGCCTGCTGCTGCAGCCCCACACTTGGAAGACAGCCACCCTGAGGCACCTGCTGACTGTGGAGGCTCAGCCTTGCTGTTCCCGCTGGGCAGGGGGTGTGGGCAAGCTGACCTTGACGGGCCAGATGTTAGAAAGGCAAGCAGCGGAGACCTGCTGGGCCCAGGCATTTGCTGACCCCACTTCCTTCTGCAGACCCAGGGCCCACACATCAGAGAGCAGGGGAGCCATGTCCGGGTAGAACTCATGGTGCTGGGGCAAGGGCTTGAGTCTGGGGACAAGACTGGGGGCCGCCCTGTCACCTGGCTGACCGCCAGCCTGTGCACCACTTTCGGGGACGCGGCGTAGCGGTGGTGATTATCTGCAGGCGCAAATATGAATGGAATGTCAGCCGCCACCACCCAGGCTCCTTTCTGGTACCAAAGTGCTCATTGTTGCCCTGACCCCACCCCCACCCAGCTGTCGTCACTGCAGATATTTCTTGGCCTTGGGAAACTCCCAGCCAAACCAGCCTCCCTGCCTGCCCAGCGTGTGCTGCCAGCTCCCGACGACAGCCTGCAGCCAAGGGGGCCTCACACGGGAGCAGCCCAAGAGACCAGCCCCGCGGCGGTGGGAAGCCAGGGAGGGTCCTGCCTGTCCCCTGCCAGGAGCCTTTCAAATTTCAATCAGCTGCCTTCACTGCAAAAAACAGAGACCCGCTGAAAGTAAAGCAAGAGAGGAGCAGGAACTCCCCAGAGTGCTGGGGCAGGAACCCAGAGCCCAGGCCTGGGGCCAAGGCAACCACAGAAAACACCCAGCAATGGAGGCAGCAGAGGGATCATAGTCACCGCGGGAGCTGGAAGGCCAGCTCTACAGGACTGGCTGTGTGGTTTTCAGCAGTTGCTTAACCTCTTCTCTGCCTGGTTCTTACCTGTAAGAAGAAAATAACAGAGTAGCATCTGTTTGGTGGATTATGGTTTTTATGTGCAAAAACGTGCCAGAATCCTACAGCAGTGCCTGGCCCACTGTAAAAGCTCAACATTGAGGGATTTCTTTCTCTGCTTTTGTCTGCTCCATCCTGCTTGCCCTGCTGGCTGGCTTTGCTCACTGTGAGATGTTGCTTCCCTAAGTATCTGGTCAGTGCCGCTCTGGCCCCCCAGCCCTGCCCGCCGCCCTGCCACCTGCAGTGCTGTGGCTATTCCCCTCTGATTAACTTGATTTTTTTTTTTCTGTGTGGTACTCTACCACTGAGCTACATACCTTACCCTTCTTATTTACTTACCTTAAGACAGATTTTCAGTAAGTTGCCCATGCTGGCCTTAAACTTGCACCCTCCTGCCTCAGCCACCTGAGCAGCTGGGATTATAGGTGTGCACCATGCCAGCCAGCCCTGCATGACTCACTTGAGTTAAAAGGATCCACTTGGTTCTGCTCATTTTTGCATGGGTCACTAGGCAACCTATAGACTGACTTCTCTGGGAGAGGGGTGCCCTGGTTCAGCCCCAGAATCAGGACGCAGACTATAGCTGCTTACACAGCTGGACTTCTGGGCAGGCCCCAGCCCACCCTTCCCTCCTGCCCTCTCTCTTCTGCGCAGACCACAGAACGTATAGCCCTCAAACGCCCTTCCTGCTTCCCTCCCCACCCTGTGGAGCAGCCATGCGGGGCTCCTGGCCTGGCCTTGCCCCTACGGCGAAGATGTCAAGGACCAAACTGGTCTTACCCCACCCAAGACGTTGCTTGGCTCACAGTGAGCTCCGTGCTGATCGCGCCCATAGTCCAGAGTCTGGGAGGAAGGTGTTGTCCCCAAGGAGGACGACAGGATCATGGTGCCTCTGCGCATCCTCACCTTGGCATATGCTCCGTCCACCCTCTAAAGAGCACAGCGCCAGCTCACCAGTTCTGGGGTCAGAGGCAAAGGCCGCTGCTCCTCCCCACAAGGGCCTGCTGGGACCTGTGAACGCTTGGATGACCCAGAGTCCTCTACGAGAGAATCCTGAGGGAAGACACGGGTCCAGGGCCCTCCCCTGCGCTGAGGCTGGAATGAGGGGGAGAGGATGGGGCTCTGAGTTGCCTCCACCTATCCCTTGTGCAGCTGGCATGGAGCTTCCATAGGCAGATGTCTCTGGAGGGGCTGAGATCCCCCGAACAGCCCTGGTGCCGTACGGTGCTGCGTGGCCCAAAACCTGAGCGGGGTCGCTGCGGAGCTGTGCGTTAGGCTGCGGGACTCCGGGGCCCTGACCCGGCTCACAGTGCCACGGTGGATCCCAAAGCCACAGTATGTCCACGTCACGCTGGCCCATGGCCTAGGAGGTGGCCTAGGAACCCCCTCACAGATGCCACCACAGGTGGGCACTGAGCTCTTGCTACTGCCCGTCTCTCACTCATTTCTCCTAACTCTCTCTTTCGAACTGGCAGGAAGTAATCCCGTGGATTTCTTTAAAAGCGCGTGTTGCTTCTGAACCATTTGCAAATGTGTGTAAGGCAGGCTCCTTTGCCCCTTAACACTTCGGTGTATCTTTGCCAAGAACAGAGGTTGCTGTCCTAACCAACCATGGCGCAATTAGCAGATATGGAATTTAACTCTGAAACGATGCCCTCGGCAGTCTTCCATCCTCCCTCTAACCTGTCGCCAATGTCCTTTATGGCACTGTTTTCCCGCAGCCGAGATCCCATGGTTCATTTCGTTGTCGAGTCTCTAGTCTCCCTTAATCTGGACAGTTCCTCCTCCTCCCTGCCTTTTGCGGCATCCCCATCGCTGGAGGCTGCAGAGAGTCTGGCTCTGGAGATCCACTCGTGAGAGATGGAAAGGGAAGCAGCTGGGGTGGGAGCAGAGGCTAAAACACAGCAGAAGCCACGAGCAGAGAAGGCCATGGAGAACAGTCGATTGGAGCTGGGAGATAAAAAGCAAAAGGAATAGGTGAATCTCTGCAAGTCCAAGCTCTGGAATCCAGAGAAACAGCTGCTGGCTTTCAAGGGCAGCGAGATGCCAGGGACTCCAGGGCTCTGTCCTGACCGCTCCAGCTCTGCAGCCTGTCAGGGGGTCAGGCTTTCCGTCTGCCTTGCTTCCTCCCATCCTTAGAAACCCCCATGCAGACAGGAGGGCGCTGTGTGTCTGCTCCTGGCAGCCCTGCACACACCAGAGAGAGGTCACCTCCAGCCTTCGTAGGTCATGTGGCCCCGGCACCGGCCTGCAGGCCGAGGCTCCAGAGCCCCACCCGTTCCCATCCCAGACTTGGTGGGAATCGGGCAGGCACAGGGACTCGGGCCCAAGAGAAGCAGCGCTGACCCACGAGGTGGTCAGAAGCACAGACGGCTCCCACAGGGCGCTCCTCAGTCTCCCGTTCTGCTGACCGTGGTCTGTGGCTCCAGCGTGGGTCCAGAGGCAACTGCAAGCCCCCTCTCTCCTGCTTGTGCCAGGCCTGGCATCATCTCAGGAGTCCACATTTCACTAATCCGTCCCTAAGGAGGCCTAGGGCTGCTGGGCTTGCACACCCCACCCCTGAGAGCACCCGTCCAGCGGGTCCACGGAGGCCCCGGGGCAGTGCTACGCGGGGCGCCACCTTCCTTCTCCCCTCTGCACCAGGCAGCGGCTCTCTGACAGGGCGCTCTGCCCTTCCAGGCCTGCCCTCCTTCCTTCCTCCTTTTCCTCCTCCTTTCTGCTTTGAGGTCACCGGGTCTCCTGTGGCTTCACAAAGCCATGGCTTCCCATATCTACCTGTACCCTGCAAGATCTCTTTCCAGAACTCCTGCTGGGGCTCACTCCTCCCCGCTTGCCCCTAAAAGACCCAGGTTGCGCGCCTCCCCGAAGCCCTTCCCACCTGCCTCCACCTCCACCATGCAGGACTCCCTTATCCTTTGTCAGGACTCCCGGGCCACTTCGGCTTCCTGAGCTGGACCCCACATGCATACACCTGGGCTCCACAGACCTGCGTGCACCCCAAGAATGAGGAACACCAGAGGGGCACTGAGAGGCTTAGGGTGCACATGTGGAATGAAGCCACCTTCTCCTCACCCATGGGATCCTCTTGGCCTGTGACTGGTCCAAACCCATTATGTTTTCTTAGTGAAGTTGCACATACATTTATTGTTTTGCTTTTGTTTTTTTTGAGACAGGGTCTCACTATGTATCCCAGGCTGGCCTGGAACTCATGGCAATCCTCCTGCCTCAGCCTCCCAAGTGCTAGGATTACAGGCGTGTGCCACTTGCCCTGCTTTGTTTGTTTTTAAAGTACACATACATTTAATCCTACTCTATAGATGGAATTTTTTTAGAAATAATATCTTCACCATTAGGATCTTCATCAAGATGCTGGGTCACAGGCCACTGAACAGTTTTCAAAATTTCATTTTCATGTCCCTGTAGGTTATTTCAGACAGAACTCTTGAATAAGAGTGGCCGGTGAAGATTTTATCTGGAGCCAGCAATGCCATTTATAAAGCGTGGAGAGTTCTCCCCCATCTCCAGCCTGTTCCTTTACAAAACAATGAGGCC